GGCTCACGTCACCGAGAACAAGCGTCGAATTAAAGAAAAGGCCACGATGGGCAGGTTAGTATAAAGGAAGACCTACAGCCCTGAATATCCTGGGGCCGCCCTCGTGGGTCTTGTCCACCCGAATCCACTTGTTGGACATGGCCTTGCTGAAGCCGATCTTCCCAAAGGACAGTTTCTGCACAGGGACAAATTCAGAGGTTCAGTCGTGGCACTAAACAATTAAATAACATTAAGATGGCAAAATCTATTCATAGCTTTGTATTTGGATTTAGCGAGGCTGCTTTTAAGTTTGCAGAAAACAGTGAATGAACGTGACTTGGAAGAAAACTAGTACATTTGCAGAATTTAGGCAAATATATTAAATTTTAACCACAAACATAAAGGCTGAAAATTAGAAGTCAACCAAAAAGAAAAACATGGAGAATTTTTTGAAGTTTAAAAAGTGTAAGTTTAATGAAATGAACAAAATAAAATGCAAATGTTGGGTTTTATAAAGAAGAAAATGAAAAACAGGTGGTAAGTTTTTGTCTCCCCCCCTTTCCCCTTATTATTCCATTTCATAATCCTTTAAAAAAAACAACAACTTAGAATTGAGAAAGAAAACATAATCATCTTTGGAAGAAGCAAAAGTTTTTTTCCTTTAATAGACTATCCACTACAGTATATGGAGATGCCAGTTATTTATTTACCAATATTTCTTTTGAGCAACTTTTTTCTGTCTGTTTTAAAAAAAAAAAAAAGTACCTATTATTTTTCCTAAGAGGCAGCTCAACAAAACAATGACATGGATCCAGGTGTCGGTGTTGATTCAGGAGGTGAAATGTTGTTGTGCTCCGTTTAATTCTTATCAGTGAATTTAGTCGGACTTTATTTAATGCATCAGACTTTTTCAAACAGTAAAATAACGTCCTGACAGCGCTGGTAGAGCTCTGACATGTAACGATTACAACTGTAGCTTCTAAACTGGTTACTCAGGTTACTCTGTGATGTTCAGGAAACGAGGCGTAATATGTTTTGCTTGGTATAAACCAAAACTACAAACTTACTCTCTTATAAAGAACAGACACAGTGTGGAACCCTATGTGAAGCATAATTTAAGCCAAACACAGAGATCCCTGTGTGCACAGTTACACTGAGGTTCATCACCGTCAGCCTTCAGAGACCAGGAGGCTCAGTGCTGCCCCGGAGAAGGACAGGTTTGGTTTGCTGTGAATGAGGTTCATTTTGTGTTTTACTGTCCTGTACATGAGGATATAAAAGAGGTAGCATGTCCTCTGTTCATGCTCGTTTCTTTTGGTTGGACGACCATGAAAAATCCGAGCTATTTTTCAGAAGGTGGAAACTTTTTCAGAGCAGAATTTCAGCGATAGAAGCAACGTATTTAGTTTAGACACTGAACAGCAGAATAATGTGTTTTAGATGTATGTCAGCAATGCTAGAATATTGGTGTCTTGTAAACCAGGGGGGTCCAATCCTGGTCCTGGAGGGCCACAGTCCTGCATGTTTTAGATGTTTCCCTCTTCCAACACACCTGATTCAAATGATCAGCTCATCATCAAGCTCTGCAGAAGCTTGATAACTATCCTGATCATTTGAATCAAGAGGGAAACATCTAAAACATGCAGGACTGTGGCCCTCGAGGACCAGGATTGGACACCCCTGTTGTAAACTCATGAGGGTCCGGCATGCCTGTGTGCAAAACTGGTGCTGAAATGTGGGGAAAAAGCCTTGAAACCCTTGTTTAGCCTATAAGAGGGGCTTTGGGGCATCTTCCTATTGGGTGTGAGATTATTTGAGCTGCATGAAACTGAGCCTGAAAACAGGTGTCTCACAACAAAAGCATGAGTTGAATGAAAAATCACTGAGATGTTTAACTGAAGCATCCCAGTGTTCCTGCTCTCTGCTACTGGAGGATACCAGCTTAACAAGGAGGATGGCAGTTGAACAAGGAGGATGGATTCTGGTCATTTTGGCCAACAAGGTCGAGGGTATCCTTCCTCCTACCGCCCACTGGCTGTGTCACCCCCACTGTCCCACTCACCATGAGCTCGCTCTGGGCCAGACCCTCCAGCGGGACGGAGCTGAACACCCGGGCTTCATGGCTGCCCTGCTCGGCTATCTCGGTTCCCTCCCCCGTCAGCTCCCAGTGTTTGGCGGAGCGCAGGTCGGCTGAGATTATCTGGACGAGAGGGAACAAACAGTCAGCACACCTGTAAGAGACTCTTCTCCAGTTGCCCCAGTGAGCTTCACTCCACGGCTCTCCTCTAAAGCTGCCTCCTGATTGCATCAGTCACTCTGCTGTTGCCGGTGACAGTCGGCCTTTCGCCGCCTCCCAGCCCGGGAAACTCACGTCGCCGAGAGCCTGCAGACTCTTCACGGCTCCGACGATGACCTGGTGGTCCACCCCGAGGCTGGCCGCCACGTCCAGGCTGTCCAGGCCGTCGTCCACCTTCTCAACCCGCTGTAGCAGCGTCTCCACCACCCCGGTGTCCGCCATGCTGGATCCCTGCGAGGCCCGAAAGAGGCTGAATGTGACGTCAGCGTCCCAGAGGCCGAAAATGCTCGAATAGCGACGAAACGAGTTACCGTAAATACTGTAGTAGTGTACTAAACACAGCATTGATTTTATTTAGATTTGTTTACTCCCTTTAAAACTGTTGTAAACAAAATTTTGATCAATAAACCATTTACATATATTTTTCACTATTTAGCCCACTTTTTTTGGCTTGTTTTTTGGAGAATTTTGTGAAACGCTGCACTTTAAGTTACAGTTATTTTTACACATTTTCCTCCCACTCTTGTTTATTTACAGTTAGTAACTCGGGAAAAAAAGAAACAAACAAAACTTGAATTTACATGTTGGTATGATAATATTTTGGTTTGAGGGCATCCGTTTTTAGAGTTTGGCAAACAAAATTCAGACTGGGTCATTTTTTTCGTAAAATGCTTAGAATGTATATCGTATGTAACCATGGAAACGATGGACCGGACGGAGGAAACGTCAACACATGTTCACGATGCTGTAGCGCTTAGAAAAAAATATAATTGAAAAATAATATTTTGTTTTGAGTGCATCAGTTTTGTCGAAGGTTTCGGAAACAACATGACGACTGAACCATTTTTTTCCTAAAATGCTTAGAATGTATATTTTTGGGAACCATGGAGACGACGGAGCTGTTCGGAGAAGCGTCATGACGTCAGAACGTCTTTCGGTTCGGCTTCCGTCGTCTCCATGGTTACAAAAAAATATAATATTGTGGGCATTTTAGGAAAAATGGCCCCGTTTGGCATCTTGTTGATAAAAAATTTTCGATGCCTAACTGCACAAAATTGATGCCCTCAAATCTAAATATCCTTTTTTATTTCTTCTTAAACAACTACAGCATTATTAACATACGCCTACATGTTTCAGGGACTTTTCATACAGAAAAACTCAGGGAAAAAATAAAAACCTTCCACCAAGAAAACGTCAGTATCAACCAGACTTCAAACAAAAAAAAATCTGTGTCCTGTAAAACTTCAAATTCAACACTTTATTTTCATTTCTGTGCTGCTAATGTTTCTAACCCATTCAAGCAGCTCAAATAATGAATTTATTGCAGGAGAAACATGAGTTGAAGTTTCTCACCTGCATACAGACCTCCAAACAGCAGCTGCTCCTCTCTGGCTGCTGCTTTCTCCAGGTTTCTTCTTTTTCTTCTCTCATTTTTTACAGTTAAGTTCAGTTTTTCAGATGTGTTTCAGATCTCCAGACGTCAGATTTCCAGCGCTCACATTTTGCAAAGTTATCTAGTACAAACACTATATGAACTTTTTCTAACAAGATCAGCCTCTGATTGAAGGATAATAGTGGGAACTAAATGAGAATCTAATGACTGAACTAAAGCCATCCTCCAGCGCCGCAGCAGCTGGTGGTCCACACGCAGCATCACTGTGGTCCGTCCATCATGCTGAGTCAGAACACGAGGACCAGTTACATCTGCAGCTGAACCACATCAACACATCAGTGCATTACAGCCGCTTATTGTCTTTACATGCATTTATATAAGAATGTAATCTTCGGTTAGAGACTGGGTGCACCAGATAACTCCATTCTCAGAACACAATTAAAACACTGAAATGTAATTTTGTGTGTAATGATGGTTTATCTTAATTAAACTGTTCTGACAGCTGTGATGGAGCTCAGGAGCCATCCAGAGGAGCTTTAGTACAAATACTTTCCCCTTATGAACTTGGAGTCAGTGTGAAACAGCTGATCTGTTTCTGTGCAGAAGAACACCAAACATTGTTTACTGTCAGATCCTGAGTTCATCTAGTTGCCACTGCTGTGTGTAAATGCAAACATTGCTCTTAGTTTAGAGAAGCACTGATGGTTTCTGCTGCTGGTATTTAATAAAGTCAGAGGAAAGTATCTGACACACTGGCTCTGAGCAACAAACAGGACTTTAGTAGGTCTATTATTGCTGCTGTACAATTCAGAAGACGACGGACCTATTAGGAGAAGCGTGAGGAGGAAACGTGCAGGTGATCAAACTTAAGAAAATTTATGAATCTGGATCAGAAGAGAGAGTTTGGGTTCAGAATGAGAAAGCTAATGTTGCTTTAAATTGGAATGAGGTATGTCTTACAGTATTTATTTAAAAAACATTAACAGGAGTAGAGGCTCAGGCTGGTCATCCCACCTCATTCAATCCCAAACAGAACTTCAGTTACATCCAATAACTACTATTTTTCCAGCAGAACTTCTTTGTGGATCCACTTTATACCTGTTGTTCCCCTACTTACACATTTTAACAGCACAACCACTCCCCATTCAGTACAGTCAGTCAATTAACAACCAGGTTTTTAGTTCAGGGAAGCTACTGACATTTCTTATTTTCTATCATTATAAGTACTTCATCCTTTATGCCAAAACTCACATTAAGACTTCAATTTAAAATAAAAAGTACAAACACACTGTGTTTTAGCAGAAACGTGGATTCAGCACCAGAATGTACGAGTTTGTTCCTGTTAATCTCCAAAACCATTTATTAAAATAACTACATCACATTAGGTAAATTACAAAATAAGCCAAAATTACAAGCATCGAAGAGAAGAACGAGCTATTCGGGTCCATTGAATCGTTACAAAAAATACAACAACCTTTGTAGTTTAAAACTACAAGATTTAACTAGTTTCACATGGAGAAAAAATGCCGCTGCCACACAACTCTTTAGTAAGAAAGGAAACCAAGTCAGAGCTAGCAAGTAACTGTCGCATCAGCCTTCATATTTAGTGATGAGAATGAGGACTGGTAGCATAGATTAAAAAATAAAAAATAAAAATAACCTAAAAACACAAGACTAAGCACTGACCAGAACCACTGAAACAGACCACTAGATTCAGCCACGGCTCAGCTCTGACACTTAAAAAAGTCCAGACATCTCAATTGTGCCCACGTGTGCTACATATAAACCCAAAAGCACATAAGAAGCAAACATGGAAAAGGCAGAGAGCACAGGCAAGCCGTCGATCACTTTCTTTGGAGAAGGCTTGAGACACTGATGCAGGGTGCTTGGTGCCGACCGTCCGCAGCGCTTCAGTCTATCTGTACTGGTAGTTCATGCTGTTGTCTCCTCTGCCGTAGCCCACTGGGTTGTGGTACTGAGAGTGGTTGGTGCCAAAGCCCTGGTTGCCGCCTCCTCCACCTCCCTGTGAGTTGTAACTGGACTGGTTGTTGAAACCTACAAGAGGAAAGTGTGGGAAAATTAGTCAAAAAAATAAAAAAAATCCAAACAAATGATGTATGAAGCTGTAACTTCTGAGCAGCTTTCTGGGTGTTTTTTTCCTCCCATCCGGTTGGATCATTTTTCACAGCAATGTTAAGTGTTGCACCTCCGTGGACACAGGAGGTGCAACTAATCTGTCTCACAACTGTCTAAGTCCAGCTCACGTTCCCTATGAGTGGGTGAACAGTCAGACGCTTGGTGAATTCTGCTTCACAATGACAGGAAGAGCCGACATCCATCCATTATCTATACACCGCTCAATCCTCAACAGGGTCGCGGGGGGGCTGGAGTCAATATCAGCTGACTCAGGGGACACCTGGACGGGTCACCAGTCTATCACAGGGCTACACTTAGAGACAGACAACCAAGCACACTCACATTTAGAATCACCAATTAACCTCAACATGTTTTTGGACTTGTGGGAGGAAGCTGGAGAACCCAGAGAGAACCCACGCTGCACGGGGAGAACATGGAGACCCCACGCAGAAAGATCCCAGGTGTCCTCACCGGGACACAAACCAGGGATTTTCTAACTGCGAGGCAACGGTGCTAACCACCAAAGTCAATATCGAAGGATCAAAAACTGACATCTCTATGAACGCTTGTCTGCCATAAGCCAGTTATTCCTGCGGCAACTTTTTGGTCAGCTCTTGCTTAAAACCCCAAAAGCCAAAAATGATCGCAAGGCTCCGCTTTCACAGTTTGTATTCAAACTGAAAATCAAGATCAAGTGAGCTTTTGTGCTTCTGCTTCATGTATAGACGTACAGAGAACTCCAAACTGTCTTCTGTGCAGTATAACAAATGGCACAAGAGCTTGTTTTAATGCCATACCTCCTATAAAAGAACATTAAACAGAATTTCTTTATTGACACTAAAATAGAAAAATATGGAATTAACTACACATAAATTAATTGGTGGCTCTACACACTACAAATATGTAGCTCTTCTGGGCTTTTTTAGCCTTTATTATACCGGAGGTGGAGACAGAGACAGGAAACGTGGGGAGAAGAGTGGGGGAAGGACATGCAGCAGATGGGCTGGATTCGTATGCATGGCTGCTGCGTCAGGGACTATAGCTCCTGTTTATGGGTCGCCCGCTCAACCAGGACGCCTGTACACTAATTATTTTTCAATGAGACATGAAGAATTAATTTGCAAAAACAGATTACTCTATTTCTGTAGATTTTCAGAGAACGCATTTTTTTGTTGTTTGCTTGAGATAATATCAATCAAACTGAGTGGATTTGACTCAGTAGAAATGACAAAATTAGAGATAACTTGAGTTTGATATTGTCTCAGGTAGACGATGGAAAAGTGGGTTTTCTGAAGGTTTGTGAAGATGCAGTTATCTGTTTCTGCAAATGAACTCTTCAGATATAAAATAAGATGCTATAGATGAAGCTTCGATTTGCTGTATTTTCCTGATGAAACCAATCTGGACTCCAAGAACCATCGCAAAGTGGGGAAATAAAAGACTTTCAAATCCACTCAGAGGATTATAAATATGTTTTCTTTTCTTTTTTGTAACTTGCCTTCATAACTGTAGTCCTGATTATCTCCAGCGCCTCCTGTCACCTGGCTCGGGTAGGCAGTGCTGTACGAGTATCCTCCTGCGCCCCCCTGGTTCTGGCTGAAACTCTTCTTTCCCTGTCCATAACCCGGGCCATACTGGCTGTACGAGCCCTGCCCTGAGGGGCTACTGGACTGGTAGCCTCCTGCAGGTCCACTGTTTGCCCCTGGGGGACCCGGGAAGGTTGCCTTCCCTCCCTTGTGCATAGGGGGTTTCTTTTTGGGTGCTTTGTTGGCAGAAGCGGCAGTGTAGGCTCCGTCACTCTGGTAGTAGGAACCGTAGGAGCCCTGTGCTGGTCCTGGTGCTGGGCTGGCTGGGGGACCGCCCGATGGGCTGCTCGATGCTCCGGCGCCTCCGTTTGTGCCACCGTTGTTGTAGTAATCTGGGAAATAACAGAACGGCACAGCCTTAAAACGAGCAGAAGGGCTTCTTCAGCAGCTTGCATGTTGCTTGTATTATTTGGAATACATTGTTTTCATGCACTCAGATGAAATCAGACCGTGTAGTAGCACAGTAATGAGTGATGTCACATTTATTAAAAAAACAAAACAAAACATATAAAAACAGCTAAAGCAAGAAGTCTTCCCCTCCCAAATATACATCAGATTCTTTTCAGATTCTTCCAGTCTGTGTGTGCAAACCCGGTGCCAACAGCCTCGGTCCTCCGACGCCTAACGCTGGAACAGATGGGACACTCCGACTACCAAACGCTGCCGTAGCAAGACCATCATGCATTCAGTGTAGCTGTGACTAAACAGTGTCGCCGATATGACAAAGGAACAGATTTTACACAAAACAACGTGGCCATTTCTTTTCTTTCTTTTTTTTTTTAAAAAGCAAAAACGTAAAATACAAAATAAGCTTAATTATGATTGGAAGTGACAGAAAGGCATAAGAAAGAAATAAAAACAGATCACATTTAAGATTTTCCTCAGTATCTCTCATCCAAGTAAACAGTATGGAGACAAAAGTAGAGACCAGGCTGTTGTGGTCTTGACAATAATCCAAAAGGCAGTATGTTGTCCAGCTCCCACGGGCCTTCACTTAATCATGCTCCAGAAACAAAGGCCCGTCCCCGGTATGACGAATGAAGACATTCTGCATTAAACCAGCCCTGCAGTTTGGGGAGGTCCAGCTGTTCAGGTACATCCACGGCAAGTTGCGGGCGGGGGGACAGTAGATGTCTTATGGCTACATGCATGCAGTGGCAGATCGTCTCCCCCGAGGTGTCAGGACATGACAAGTGGAATTGGCAAGACAGGGCAGAGGGTTGTTGTCACTTTACTCCCAGGGTTGTGGACTCGGTGGTGAAGGGTGTTCGTGATGCGGCTGGAACACTACTGAGTATTTTGTCCATTTTCTTTTTTTTTTTGTATCCTCTCTAGTTTTTGATTTTCTAAGACTGGGGGAACATCTATGTCGCAAACTCGTGGTAGCCATAGCAGTCTGAGACAAAGTCACCTAAAGAGTGAGACAGGGCAGAGAAGGGAAAAAATATCAAAATTAGATTGTTTATTTTGTTTTGTTTTTATCTGCCTTAAAGGTGGCAGCAGTTCAATGACTTGTTTGGTCAGATTGTTTTTAAACTGAGTCATTCGTTGTCATTTTTTTAGATTTCTCTGCTCCTGTCACGCTCAGGTAGGTCAGTCCTCAGAACAGGCTGCCAGAAGAAAGAAAGGGGTTCTCATAAGAGGGGGGCTTGTCAAAAAACAGATTCAATCCTGTGGCTTAAAGCAGAGAAATGTAAAATCACTGAGCTGGGAACATCCCAGCAATGTTGTACTACTACAGTAGAACACAGTATTGTGAAGAGAGGATGTTTTACGTGACATTCTCACAGTCCTGACCAAATGTACCACGCTGCAGGACGCTTCACATGTAAGCTGACACATCGGCAGACTAATTTGATTGGAGTTCTCACAAAATGAAAGACTAAGAGCACATCCTCAAGCACAGCAGGATGAGAAAGGTTGGGATAAATACTCACTGTATCCGGAGTTAGCGTTGTTCCCGTAACCATACGTTCCGAAGACACCTGGGAGGAGGACACGCACGAGGTTAAGCGTCTCTGCAAACTTTGTTCAGTTACATACAGTAAGCGTGATACAGTCAAAGTGTTCTTTTACCTCCTTGGCCATATCCTCCTCCATTATTAAAGCCTCTGCCTCTCCCACGACCCCGTCCTCCTCTCCCTCTGCCCCTGGGTGCAGCTGCGTCTCCAACTCCAGAAGCTCCCATCATGCCGAACCCTGTGTTGTGCTGAAGAGGAAACAAAAAAAGTCAAACTGACATGTAAATATTTCTAACTTTCAAAGCTATATAAACTATGATAACACACAGATTGTGCTTTTTCTATTTTGATAAAAGTGATAATGTGCCTCCTTTGTGAAAACAGATTCAAGCTTCTTGGTGTGAGCTGCCCATGACAGTCACACATTGTTAAATAGTCTGTACATTAAATTTCAACAATATGGGAAACAGACTTAGCCTCGCAAGCCAACTTCAGCTTCAATTCCACAGGACACTACTCTTTGGTTATGTTATCTCAACACCACTGAGCTGTGCGTGAGTCTATGGATCTGCTGGTCTCCATTTCATGAGTCGACAACAACCTGCAACGTTTTGTCTTGTAACCTCAGAACTATGGACACCGATCAGCCACAACATTACACGTGTGGGTGTCGTCTTACTCAGCAGGTGTAGAGTGCCTGCATGTTGTACAAGGCTCTCTCCTTCCCTTCTGCTATCTGCGCGCTACTATTTTTAAAACCCACTTCACTACAGAAAACCTCGGCTAAAACTTTCTATTTTTCTCAGAGGATTTGGATCATGCAGTTAAGACGGGGCTGCTGTTTTTTTTCTCAGTGAATTAGCCATTATAATCACAGTTCCCCCGTCAGTATTTTGAGGGAACACCACTGAAGTCGCATCCTGTGCTTAGTGCCCCGTGATACCGTTGTGAGTTTATCAAAATAGAAAACAAACAAACTAGAGCCTTGTCCCGTCTATGGCAGAGTGATGAACAAGTGCAGCCGGACCATTCTGTAATGCAGACAATCTACACACTGTTACAGACCGAGCAAACCCCCTCATGGTGAGGGCACCCCTGATGGCAGCAGCTTCCTTTCACTCTGCAGTAATTCATTAGGAGCTGCTCGATGAATACGATCAAGAGCCCAAGATGCTAACCGAGCCTCGTTATCTACTCTTACTGAAGATCTGAAGGTTGCCTTCAATGGATCTGATCAATGGACCGCATACTAAAGAACCCAAAGAATCTACTGCCAAGGCCCAGGTGCCAGACACCACGGTACACCCTTACAGGTCCTGTGTCCAGGCCCAAACTGTTCAGAACTATTTTAGCAATACGAGGGGGATCTGCACAATATTAGGCAGGTGGTTTTAATGTTGTGGCTGATCAGTCTGTGGGACAGGGAGTATGTAACACAGAGAGTAACGTAATAAGTGTAGGCATCAGAAATAGTACAAAACAATGACTAACAACATTGGCTGTCATCCTGGAAAACACTGTTGATCTGCTGCACCGCGAGTAATTTCACTGGACGAATCTCAAAGCATAACCATCATCACAGGAAACAAACCACAACAACAAAAAATAAATTAATCACTACTACACCCAAATAACCCTGATATATGCGGGCACTAACATGGCATATAATTACTTTTTTTTTTTTGCCTTTCGACTTCATTTGTCAGGACAATAGAGAGACAGGAAAGTGGGAAGAATGGAGGAAGGACCTGCAGCAAAAGGCCATGTGCTCACCCTGTTGAGCTACTTTTATCGCCTATAATTACGTTTTTGACATATAAAAGCCAAAACACACATGTACAGTTTTAATATATACTGACAGTAAAACTGAACTTTCACTTTTAGTTCAACGTAAAACATGCATTCGCAATTCTAGCCAGGACTTGAAAAACAACAACAACAACATTGCTCACCATGGGCGGTCCCTTCTTCTTTTTAGCAGCCTCAGTCACAGAGCCCTCGGGGTAGAGTCGCTCCAAAGCAGCCAGAGCTGCGTAAGCCTTGGCCACCTTTTTGTTGGGTCCCGTCCCCTGGAACTTCTGTCCGTCGATCTCCACCTCCATGACAAACCGTTTGTCGGGGCAGCCGCCGGTCTCCGAGATGAGCTCGTACTTGAGGCCGCGGCGCTTCTCGTTCAGCTCCATCACGGGGTTCTTGCCGTGTTTTGTTAGGATTGGTCCCTGTTGGCGAGCAGTCTGACGGAAACGAGAGACGGTCGCGGTAAGATAAGAATGTTCTGTAGTACGGGAACAAACCCAAACATTGCTTCGCTGACACACATACCTCTGCGGCGAAAGTGCTGTCTGCGTTGGCTGCTCCTGTGGCAGCAGCGGTCGTTTCGAGTTTTGCCACTGGCCTCAATTCTTCCACGGCGGTTGCTACTACTGCCTCCTCTAATTTTACCGGCTCAGCAGTCTTCACTTCCACTCCAGTGGGCAGGCCCATGTCCTGCAGGACCTGAGAGCAAACACACACAGATTCACTGTGGTTTAACAAAATGTCTAATAAAAACAACTACTGGAATTAAAAGATGTGGAGTTTGAGCCTACGATGAAGTCTAGTACATGTTGTGCTCACCTTCACAGCTACATGTAGCTTGGCAGTGCGCTTGGATGGACCAGAAGCTTCAAATGTCTTTCCATCGACTTCTACGGCCATAGTGAAAACTGGCACATGAACTGGGCCAGTCTGCGATATCAGTTTGTACTGGAGGCCTGGCTTCAGCTGATTGAGTCTCATTAGGGCATTCATAGCCTGGGGAGGCTCAGCTTTCTCTTCGGGAGCTGGTGGAAAGGACGTGAATGAGAGGATTAGAGAAGCAATAAAGGCAAACGAGAATCACCACTTCTTCTGTGCCTCTGCCAACTAGGTAGCATCGTTTTCTGTCCAGAATTTAACAACAGGTATTACAAGTTTTGAAAGGTGGATCTCTCACGCGCATCTTCAGCGCAGACGATCTGTACAATCCCCCACAGTTTCAGGGTGAGGATACAAGATTACTGTCACCATTTCAGTATCCAACTAAATATGACATATGGTCACAATCTTCCCTTCTGCTCGGTTGAAAAGTGGCCAGGAAAGTGTTTTGCAGAACGCTATGTTGTCTCAGTGAAGTTGTCCTTTGACCACAGTAATCTCATCAGTTCATCCTTGAGTCCAAGTGACTCAAGAACGTCTGTGCCAAATTTGAAGAAGCTCACTCAAGGCGTTCCTGAGATTTACAAGAACGAGGCTGAAGGAAAAAATGAAGACATAATGCCTTTGGCTACAGCTGTGACTGGCAGAAAGGGATAAAGGTAGACTGTGCATTATCAATTAATCTATTGGTCCGATTTCAATCAGCTGAAGTGAAAAACGTTTGAGATGAGATGTCCATGAATACTAGATTACTAGCAAAAAGTACAAAAAAATGAGACAGATCTGCTCGCTTGCTTGAGAATTCAGCTAAAATTGAGGTTAAAATATGGGGTTAAAAAAAAAAGCACTAATCACATTTTAATAAGCTGCCCTGTCATAATTAATCTCATTCTGATTAATCAGTGTGTTTCTGTGACGTCCTGTTCAGACTGCAGAGGAACAGTTCATCCTAAAGGTGATGTCTGAGCCTGTCAGTTGCTGAATTCGTAGTTTGATGCAGACAGAAGACATGTCTTTCTGTAAATACACTCATTTACTGTCACGTCCTCGGTATAAAATACATTTAATTACATATAAACAAGCTACGGATCCAACTTGCCGACTTTCCTGCTCTGTCGAATCAAAAAGCACCTTAATTATTCTGCTTACAAGGAATAACTGATCATCAAAACTGTTGATTCTTTTTTCTTTTCATCAACTAGTGACAAGAGTGAGTTTCACTTTCATCATAGTTTCAACAAATATAAGAGCTTAAAGAACACTCACATTTCTTCTGCAGCTTTTTCTTCTTTTTATTGGGACTCTTGTCGTCAGTGCCCTCCTCTTCCTCGATGGGCCTCTTCATTGGAGGGGCGTAAGCCGTACTGGGTGGGATTTGCACTGAATCACAAACACACAGAATGAGGCCTCGAGAACATACAAAAGCAATTAACTGCATTAGATCTATACAATGAATATTACACAAATCTTTACTGTGATAATTGTAGACGACTTCAAACACACAGCCTGACTCACCTGTGTAATCGATTGGAGTCTCACTACGAGGTTTCTTGGGCATTTTAGACGGAAGGGGATCCATTCCAAGCACTTTGTGAAGCTGTCCGAAAGCCGACAGCCTTAAGGCATGCTGAGGACAGACGGGACGTGGTGTAAATTACACATTCACTGAATTGTTCAAATGTCCACGCACTGTGTAGTCGCGCTCACTTGTGCACTCGCTGTGATGTCTTCTCTCTGCTGGTGGTCCAAATGACTGATGGCGTCTGTGGCTTCCTTCTCGCACGGATCGGAGATTCCGGCACCATCTGCAACGTGAAGAAATGACAGTTTGGGATTGCGTTCCCAACACAGAAAACAAACCGAGCGCGTACGGTGAAAGAACGAACATTACAACAGCTCAATTAAAACAAACATTTTGGAGGAGAGATCCCGCGTGCGTACCTGCCATGAGGATTCCTGAAGCCAGACACTCTAAAACTCTCCGCAGAGCTTCTCCTGCCCCCATGGGCCGGTTCCCTGTGCCAATGGCTTTCTCACAGATCAGCTCCAGTGGCTGCAACGCAGGAGAGAGAGGGAGACTCTTTGTTTGACGATGCTATTTTTAAGCGCGGCCACTAACATGGAGAGATTTTAGGTCACTGCATTAGATAGTGTGATTGTGGTGCCTTGATTTTTTTTGTGTGTGTATCCAAACAGACAAAGCGTTACCGAAGACACTGTGCGCTGTAATTACAAAATAAAAAATAAAAAGTCTGGGCAATTTTGGGCGGGCAGGGAACTCAATCTTGAGTAAACTGCATCTCATATATTTAGAAGCCATCAGCAGAGCTTCAATTAGAATGAGCCTACATGGAGGTTTCTTTCACTCACCCAGCCACGGAGCGGGGCCCAGGTGGGGACTCGGGCGCACAGGTCCCTTAGGATCCGGATGACAATGACACAGGAGCGAAGCCCGTTGGCTCTGGCCTGGGGACACAATCAGGGAGGGGGGGGAGGGAGGGGGGGAGGGGCATAAGGTGGATAAGCGGCTTTAGCAAAAAAAAAAAAAAAAAAGAAGACCGTGTGAAAAATACAGCAAGATAAACATCCAAATAAATAGAACTAAAGAAAAATGAAGCCACACAGACTATAACAGCTTAGCTTTGTCATTATGGAAAATGTCCAGAGAGATTAGATGATAGAATAAACGTTTGATCACTTTGTTGAAAGACTCGAATTATAATCAATCACATTCATGTCTGTTAAGTCAGTAGCCAATAGCGGTGACGGTGCGGTTATCAGATGTAAGACATTTGTTTGTGAGGAAGAAAACATGCGTATGACTTCAAGTTCAGGAGAAAAAGAGTGAAGAAAGCCACGTCAAACTTAATACCAGCTTTAATGTGAGAGACAAGTGAACTGTTTTAAAAAAAAAAAAAGGGGGGTGTGCTTACGTGTGCTGTCATTGAAACAGGTCGTAGTTGAATTAATGGCAAAAAGAATTTTAAAATATGACTCAAGGTGCAATATTCCCGTTGATTTTGTGGCACACAGAGTAACAGAAACAGCCAGAGAGCAGGAAAAGTTGAGGCCACATACTCTACAATAACAAGCCGCAGAGATGTAGCGCTGATTGTTATAGTGTGGAAGCCAGAGATGGTACAGGCGACAATACTACGATGAATTATCGTCAAAAAAAAATGGTTAGCTACAAAGAACATCTTCTCTTCAGAAACTACCAAATGGAGCAGCAAAAGAGCGCTCTACGAGTAGCTTGCATAGGTATGAAAATAACAACAACTCACTCACAGCAACACTGACATTATAGAAATATTGCACCTGGACACATGATGTATTAGTCCCAGACTGTTTTTCTTTAACTGATTTGAGTTAGGAACCGGTTGAGCAAAGTGAAGAAACTAATGAACTCAGGGACTAAAAAAAGCAACAATGAACTGTTGTTTTAAAAATGGTGCTGCGATAGAACCTGTTAAGTGAGCAAAGCAACTCTACAACAGTGTAATGACAAAGGTTTCCTAAGAAACAAACATCCAGGTCGTCAAGTATTACTACAGAAGGTACACTTCGAAAGAGTAAATAAATAAATAAATAAATAAAACACATGGAACGCCCAAATAAAAGACAAAAGAACAAACAGCATAAAAACCAAACTGAAAACTACTTCTGTTTTAGAGACAAATAAAGACAAGGTCCAAACCTGGAACCACTTAGCGTGGCGTAGAGAAGCCAAGGCAGTTAGGCATTTCTGCCTGTCCAGAACATCCGGGGGATCGTTGACTGAAAGCGTTTCTATTGGCAGGTGGAATAAGAAGACAAGGTACAGTTTGACCAAGGGGAGTTCTGTCAGGCGGCCAGGGGGAACACAGGCAGCCTTCCCAAACCACAGGCAGGAGGGGGAAGGGGAGGGGGACCCCTCCACTGGAGAACCACCAAACGCTCTCAACCTCCCAGTTAATATGGGTTTCCCGCGGCCCGGCACCCAGCAATTACTTCAAACCCCACCAGAAAGACTGGATTGTGGAGTGACAAAAACATCACAAAAAAAAGCCCTAATGTAACAAAAAAAATAAAAAAAGTTAATTTATAAAGGCTGTATCAAATGGGAGGTTGTCTCTCCATGCTTGCTTCAGCTCAAATGGATGCTTTAGCTTGAGTGCCTGAAAAGGTCTGCTTGTCTTTTCTGACGTTAGCAGGAGGTAGAGCCCCTCCCCTTTGCCCCTATACTGGGTACACTGCACTTTGCCCCTTCCGAGACAGAGAGCGGCCAGTTGGTCAAAGGTCCAGCGTCCCTAAAAATTGACAAACTAGAAGGCTTGACAGAGAGAATCAGAATTGGAACCACAGGCAGAAGTTATCAGATGCACAAAAGGTGGGTATCAAAACAAGTCCACACTGCAGCAAAACTGATGGCTTTTAAAAAAAAAACAACAAACAAACAACAGACCCAAACTGGGCATCACTGTTCGCACGGGGCTACAGGTAAGGTCAAGGTGTTCAACACCTGCTGAGACTGAGATCCTCACTGGTGTTGAGAGCTCTCAAACGGGATAAAAACTTTGTTGTCGTAAAGCTGCAATTAAGAAATTCAATAGATGTTTAATTACATTCGTTACAGCCTAACAATCAGACGTCGAATTCAGGTGTCCCTTGTCGTTATCTGCAACCCTGAGCCTTCCCTGCCGAGGAACATCAGAGACAGTCAATAGCCCACTGGTGGGTCTAGTAACCAAAGTCAGCGTCGCCACATGTTTTGCTACTCATTTTTGCTGCAATGCAAACCGTTCTTCATCATCAATGATAAAACACATGCAAACAAAGTGGTCTCTCTCTTTTTTTTTGTATTTGTTTAAATTCTCAGTAAGCCTTCATTTCGTTGGTGACCTTGATCATTATGGGGGAAGAGAAAGCCATGTCTTCAGCAATCAGTAAACTACCTGCCCTATACTGTATATTGGGCCATCAAAAATGTACAATTACATTACATGGAACTACGAGAGTGTCTAGAGAGCTATAAGCATAGCACAGTTTCATTATGTGACAGTGCGTTCTTGTCCCCTAGCTCCATTGAAGGCCCAATAAACAATATCTGTCTAGTCTGGTTGCCTGCCTGGCCTCCCTGCTGGAGGATGGGCACCACTAAAAAAAAGGAAATACTGAGGCCTTTGTGTAGACGCTTACCTCCAGCTGCAGTCCTCTCCATCTCTTCACGAACCACAGGGGATGTGAGGTGAATTGTGAGGGTGAGGGGGGGCTCCTTGGTGTTCTTTATGACGATGCTGGCCTCGCGGATGTGCTGGGTCACCACATACTTGTCTTCTGTGATCAACTGTGTCAGGGCACACAAACCACATGTTGGATTTGTTTAGTAATGTTTGTGCTTAAGATACGACTATCCAGCACTCCAGACTGAAATTAGCATAAAAGAATACATTTGTGTTGTTGTAGGAAAAGAGCAAAATCTTGTTGACTGTTTTGGTTTATTTCGTTTTCATAAAAGTTTATCTGTGAAGTTAACAAATCAGGATTTTTGTTGTATGTATTTTAAATGACACAGTCAAAGCAACGATTACCTCCATTGCTTTTTAAGAAGCCTGTAACTGGTGCTTTATGTAAGTATTTTATTTTTAAAGTTTGGTCGCTGCCAACCAGCTAGACCCGCCCTGCAAGCAGATCATGTTGCTGTGATGGTCCTCAGTGTCATTCAGAGTGTCCTCTGTGGACAGACTTCAACTCCACCGTCTTGGACTGCGACTGGCAGGCCTCGTTGTGCTCTCTGCAAGATCCACTGTGAGCTAGAGAGCCACACCAACCAGTTTGCAGTCCAAGACGGTGGACTGGAAGGATGAGAGACTGACTGGAGAGGTAGCTGAATGACACTGAGGACCCCAATAACAGCTGCATGGGCAGCTGACAGGCCAGAGCTGGCTGGTTGTCAGTGACTGAACTTTCAGAATAACATACACAGAACCTTTAATAATTGACTAGCATCAAGATTTAAAGGCCAAGTTAACGTCTAATGTCTTGCTGTGTGCTAAAGATGCTGTGTCTTTAGGTATCTGGGTAAATAATGAACCTGACACGTATGGTTGGGGTCAACCTGAGCCTAACAACAGTTTCTCCCCCTCCATTCCCTCAGGAGGTCAGCCCAGTCATTACGTAAGCCGTGATTACACTCCCTTGAGAAAACACACAGAGACACCTGCGGTCATCACAGACACACAGCTCTTCTATTACTTTCTCATCTGTGGAGTCAGCTGGGAGGACTCTATTACATACATGTGCAGGAGGTATAGACATGTATTCACATACAGGCAGGCGCACATTTCGAGCTGCACAAAAAGTATCTAGAGGGGTCTTCAAATGATGAGATTTACATTAGAAGTGTAACACCTCTGTGGAGCATGATGCAAACCTCAGATCATAGACAGATGTCATGAGCACACAGGAAACAATCCCCCTAGACAAAACTGAAATGCATGTAACATATCAGTAAGTAATTTTTTGCTCCCCTGAACAAGAATTTCTGATTTAATTTTCATATAAAAAGGTGTCTCGTCTTTGGTTATAGGATATGTCATGGGGAATTTGCCACAGAGTTCAGTTTTCTTGCAGATGCGGTTAGCACACAGGAAGAGGGGTTACTTTTCAGGCAGGTGTCTCCATTTTACTGTTTCCTGCTTAAAATAAGTTCACTGCGTCGCCAGCATGAGCCACTCTGTACAGCCTGCACAGTGTGTATTTTTTGTTTTTACCCAGCTCCTTCATGTCTCCCACTTTCTCTACACCGTCCTATCAGCTGTAGGTACAATATTTTTAGATGTGCTTGCTGGAGGATAAGACCCAGTGGTGTGTTTCATCTCTGCCAACAAGTGAAAGCTTTGAAATAAATCACAGGCGCCATGAAACGCAACTAGTTGCAAAGCAAAGCCCAGCAGATGCAGTCTAGAGCCATGCTTTAAGATGAGACTCCTATTATTTGTTTGACCTTTAACAAGTTAAAGTAATAATTGCTGTAATAAAACATAACTTCTTTAGCACAATTCATGGATAAAATAAAACCTCAAACACAAGTCCTGTATCAGCCAGGCTCTAATTTAACATTACTGCACTACTTTGTCGTTCTTACCTTGAGTTGTGTAACAAGGTTTTCAGACACTTTCTTCAGCAGACTGATTGTAGGCTTCTCCTTACAGAGCAGCACCAGCTCCAGGTCCAGGTCCCCCTTCAGTAACAGGCCTTTTGCAACGAGACCCACCCTCATTACGCCACGCAGAGAGCGGGTGGCCTGATCTTTATGCTCACTTTCAGGACAAAAAGTACACGAAAGACATAAAGTCAGAGGTCAGTAGCCAAGAGGTATTGTTTTACTAAGTTTCCACTGACTGCAAGAAACGACCTCCCCGACATGTCCTCACCTTTCCTTATCCGTGTCTGTGCCATCGGAGTCAGGCTTCCCCTTTTCCTGTTTATCCAACCAGTCAGAGACGGCCTTGAGGGCTCGCTCTGTGTGAGACACCATGTTCTGTACGCTTTCCAGTTCTTCTTGAGTTGGATAGATGGCGGAGTGCTTGGCCATAACATGGCGGTCATCATTCATGAAGACACGCATGGAGCGATGGCGCATAGGGGGCTGAAAAAAAAAAAACAAAAAACAAGATCATAAATTAAAAGGAGAAATATCTGGAAGTTTTCTGCTGCAGTAGGGTTAGTAATGACTAGCTTACACCTACACATAACCTGCATAATGCTATCAAAGACTTAGTGGGAATTTTTTTTACTCAAATCATAACTTCACATCTACTTTTAATAAAGCATTACCACCTCACTGTGACTGGAGCTGGGAAACTAGAGCAACTGATTATTTCTATTTATGGGATCAGCTTCAGTCCATGTTTGAAAATGCTTCAGGTTTTACTCTTTTAACTTATTAGCAGTTATTTAACTGTCATTACTCATCCTGCCTCTGTGAGAAACGCTCTCCGTCAACCTGGAAAGCATCCATCATCAAGGTTAAAAGGTTCCACTTGATTATATTGAAAGACCTGTTTTACCTGTCACACACTTGACTTTGAATAATTAAAACAGTGAATAACAGGACCTCATGTCTAGGCCAAGCTTCTAACACCAGTGATTACACAAGCAGAGTGTATGCACAGGCAGCCAAAGCCAATTTAGAGGAGAGCGCTGATGTGGAAGCAGCAGCATGTGTTCCTAAAGCCCCAGGCAGACTGGAATGATAACAAGCTGGCACCAGTCCTGTGACTTAAATTAGATCTGACACATTTATTTGTCCCGTTAACAATGACATTTAATACAAAGACCAGTGTGTCCTCTGCTTCGCCGGCCTTTTGTCCAGTGACAAACACACGACACTGAGATACGTACGCTGAGACTGAAATTAAAACTTTACCATTGTAGTTCTGGAGACCGTGGTGACTGCTATAATCCAGTGACTGACAGTATTATAAAGATCTTCTTGGCAGTAGATGACAATGGTGCTGTCTGTCTCTGCAGGAGGAAAACAAAATCAAATGTCACTGTGGGCTGGAGCTGCAGCGATTAAACAATTAACTAGCTAGCTGTCAGCTGTTAAAATTAACTATAAACTATTTTGAACAAGTATTCGGTTTGAGTAACTTATTAAATCTAAACACTTTTGATTCTTAACACTGAATATTTTCTGGTTTCTTTACTCCTCTATGACAACAGACTGAGCGTCTCTGGTTCATGTGGCGAAATAAGACATGTGAAGTCACCTTCACTGAGAAAATAATCGAGGGTTAATCGACAATTAAAACGATCATTAGTTTCAGCCCTTCTGTGGGCAGAATCAAAGCCAAGGGAAAACTGGCTGCATCAACAAAGAACAGATGGCGCACATATTTGATTTCAGAAAAATTGTCTTGCAGATACAATAAATACTCCTGATACCACAAACACCTAATACAGTAAAACAATTCACACTCCGTCGCTGTAGATCTCAGGGTGAAATAACTTGGTCACCAGGTGCAGCGGCATAGTTGGCACGGCAACAAATGCCTCAGGCAATAAACACAGGCCTACTTTCACAGGCAGGAATGTGGTTCACAGTGATAAATAAAAGCACACTCCAACTGGCTATGTTGTGTCGACAAGCTGCAGACATTCATCTTCGAAACTGTGTTAGAACCAGACAAGGCTGGAAGATCCTTGTTTCTCAGGAAGCTTTCTTTCTTAAGCTAGAAGTGATCCCCCTCCAACACACACACAGGTCTGAGACAGCTGGATGTGAGAATATGCCATTAGAAAAAAGCAAACAAATTGATTTAAAAGGCAGTACTTATGAGAAACGGTGGATCTGAGCAGAGGTCATACACATTACCTTCACGGCTGACTGGCTGTTGCTCTGTGTTGTCTGGCTACTGTGCAATTACAAGATGAAGCAGTGGCGTTAGGGGGCGGGAAGGACTTTCATTCATTTATCCTGTCACACCCACAATGCTCACACACCCTGTTTTTGTTTATAGGTAAACTCACATAGAGCATCCAGGTAGGAGGATGAAGTTGGAGCATAAACACATGCACTGTCAACAAGTTAGCGAAGCGTGGCACCGAGCCTCCTGTTGTCGTCAAACACCTCCCGATACACCTGTTAAATCTGGCACCGCAGCGAAGTCGTTATTTCAGGACGATGAGCGAGTTTTAAAAACGCAGCTGGACCCGAACCCCACAGCTCCATCGAGGGGGGAATTTAAAAACAGACGCCATTTTAATTCGTTGCAGAGCTTCTGTCTGGCGACGGCTAGCTAACGGCTCCGACGGCAAAAAAAAGAAGAAAAAAAGAAGAGCCGTTCACCTCTCGTTTAAAGCCGCGCCGAGCCGGCATGCGTACCAAACCGCAAAAAACGCGAACGCCACCTGTTATTTCTGTCCACCGCGGAACTCCGTTTAAAATTCGTCACTCCACAGATGCCCGGCTTTTAATTTAGATACTGGTCTGTTGCTTATCAGACACCAAAATGGTCGAGGAGACAAGACCGAGACCACAGACCTCAGCCACAGTTAGCATTAGCAGGTTAGCTTTGCCGAACAAAGGCAATTATATCAACTTCTCGGGAACACGGGGCCACACTAGAACACAAATACAAGCTTCGATAGTCGTCGTGGTGCTAACGTGCTTCCTTCCGCTCAAGCTTGAATATTTTATTCGCTAAATGTAGATATTTTCCCATTACTTACCGTTGTGGCGTTACTGCTAATGGACCGAGCTTGCACGCTAGCTCCCGGTCTCAGCAGCAGGAGTGCAAAGAGCCACGCCCACGATCTGAAAAGTGAGGACGCTCATTGGACAGATTGTCCACGTGACTGCGATTCTAGCCAATTGGAGGACAGGGGTACCGAACCAGGGGCGTGGTTATTAATGGTGGAGTTGAGTGGATTTGTCTCCAGTCAACAGCTGGCTGATTCATCCAGCGTGTGGAGGCAGTATTCCTTATCGTATCAATTAATAACACAACAGTGTAGTAATAATTACTATATTACATCAGACTTATCTTATTTAGTTTCAACGCATGAGCGCTTGTGTGACAAATCTGTTGTTTACCTCCAAGAACACTGACACAGTTTAGTGCAGTGCCAGAGGCCGCTGGCTTAGAAAATGCTGCATAAAGAAAAAATGTGTGGTGACTTATATAACATATGTTCAGAGAAAGAAAAGACTTACATTCTTGTGCTGACTGATAAAGCAAAGATATAACAATATGACTAGGAGCTGCGTGGGATTGACATAAACTTGAAGGTTTAGAAGATGAGATTAAAAGTTATAATCAGTTTCTTTATTGTGACTTTAGATTGAATAACTTTATTTCACAGGAGTAATTTAACTGCTGGAACAAAACTGTGCAGTTCATGCAATGAGGCAGCTTATTTATTGAATAACAAAAGCACTGGAATATTTAACAGGGATGTGAAGTGAAAAATCCACCCATCATTCCCATTCTTTGGTTTAGGTGTTACTTGCAAAACTATTATCTCCGTGTGTAATTTACAGGTCAGATATTTGGCTGTTTGGCCCTCCTATTCAGTCTACACACGCTACTGTTAAACCAGACTGAAAAAAAGATTAGACACCGTTAATATTCAGATTATACTTGAATCTACAATTGCAATCACATTATACTTCCATGCATGTTTCCTATTAACCATCCATGGTGACTACTGTTAGCATTTATAAACTTTGTTAACGCGTCACAACAGAAGATACAGAGAAACTCTTTTTGCATCTTTGTGTACAACAGGCGTTAGTCTCTTCACCTCTGTGCCACTCTGTGCAAGGACACAGTCGTATCATCTTCCACTACGCTGGTTTGGTTATCAGCTGAGCAGAATGTGTAAGCTACGCCTCCGCTGACCTTCATCACTGTCGGTTGTATAAAAGTCATTTGTGAGTCCATCTGCAGATGCTAAATTAAACTTTAAATAAATTTTTTTTGCGCTTTATTCAACAGAAAGTGCCACCACAAGCTCTAAGGCAGGAAGGCCACAGCATCGACTGCTTATTTTGCTCATTATGTGTCTTTCAGGCACACAAAAACACTGTATGGACACGTTGAAAAGGTTAAAAAAAAATGTGTGGTTATAATGTTTGTTAGCTTATCTGTCTGAGATTTTGACAGACTTTGTATCACAAATGTGAACATGTCTCCACAAGTCACATTGAGCTAAACTATGAATAGCTGTATGCTGCAGTTCAAACCTCCAGGTGTGCTCACGTAACGCCAGCTGACCCCGAGGATTTATAAAAGAGAAAAAAATGAAGCTTACACCGCAAGACAACCAACATGAGCTTTGAGCTGCTTTCAGACTTGGCTACGTGTCAAAAACATAAATATTGACATTCATTCTGTAAGAAGACCGAGCTGAATACAGTCCGGAGTCAGTTTTATGGCTCCATCTGGACAATTAAAGAGGAGCTGAAGCACCAGCAGCTGCTTTGTTTAATCTTCAACCTACGGTCATATCTCACAGGTGCTTTATTCTATCTTTTTTTTTCTAGTCATTTAGAATGAGACAGACATAAATCTCCTCATGTGCTCGGTCGACACACGGGTGATCGAACTTAAAAATACAAAACATAGTTTAACGATAAAATGTTTTCTGACAATGAACATGGATGTTTTTGTTCTGTTTTACAACATCAGATTAAAACAGTGTGTCATGCATATGGCTGACATGTCGTCATGTAATTAGAATTTTTTTAAAAAGCACAAAGGGAAGTATTTCTGAGGCTTCAGAGGTAGTGGGAGAGACGATGGAGTCTGTAAGTAGAAAGGTTTGAGGAGGTTTTCTCTGTATCTGAGAGCTCTATAGAGTTTATTGTTGTAATCAGCCTATAATACATCTTTCCCCAGCTTTACAACATAGTTTCAGATGGCATGTTGTTGGATTTTTAAGCAGCAATGGCAAGAAGTTTTGATATATATATATAAATATAACACAAGTAAAGTTTACTTGATGTTACTGAAAATGAAAAATGAAACCAGAATCACAGGTTTAAAGTAATATTGTGGATTATTTTTGGGATAAAAGCTGAAATTTATATTAAAATCTTAATTTTACACAACATGTATATTACCTGTAGCCATCTTTCTTTTCAGGTGATAAAATTAACATAATTAAGAATATTTTGATGAGAAATTTGTTCATATTTTGCTTCTTTTAGCCGTTCATTCTTGGCATCTAGTTGTGTGTTTAATATGTTGGTAGTGTGAAGTTGTTATATCAAATATAAACCAGAGGGACACGAAACATTCATCGACAGCCATTTATTCTATAATCCTACATTCCCTTTTTCTCAACAACATCACATTGAGTTAGCTTTTGCGACACGTAGCTTCACTTCGGTCCCCAGACACTCGGGGAGGATACATACACTGTAGATACATTCACTAACACGCAATAAAGACTCACATTCATGTCGTAGCGCCACGCTGGACACACACACACACACACACACACACACACACACACACACACACACACACACACACACAGCGTTTTTCACATCTTCATGCTGAGGTAAAAGCACAGCCTTTTTCTTTTTGTGCTCAGGTGAGCATTTACACAAGTCATTGACTTTTACATTGTGTGAGAACAGAGCATTTAAAGACAAAGCTTTCGAGCTGAGATGTTTGCTTTAAGACGAGATGGAGTCTCCGCTTTGTCAGGAGGTTAACACATCGTAGTCCGACTGACAAAATCGTTTTTATTTACATCTGCTCTCACAGAGGACAGACTGTCATTGCACTCTCATGTACGCTAGTAGCAGTTTAGGATGAGTCCACTTTCTTAGTGTCACATTGGCTCATGCACTCCGTCGAACCACCTCAGAGGTCATCCTCAGCTTGATATTTCAGATCTGGAACATTGGATCCACTCTCATAATACTTCATTTACAGAAACCGGGTGTCTCGTATTCCCATCAGTCAAGACAGAAAGGCTTTTTAATACTGAATTCACATCCAGATGATTGAAAGCTGCATTCAGCACTGACAGGTGAAAGATCATCCCTCAAAAAGAGACTCATGCCACGTATCCAGTCTTCCCTTCTTTCCTTAAATCTTATTAACAGAGTTTTTCTCAGAGTTCTGAAAGGGGCTGACGTCCCAGCGGACGGAGCGGAACGTGCTCCCCTTGAAGCTGGCCTGCTTTTTAGTGATGCGGTAGATTTTTCTGAGGATGGCGCGTCGCAGCAGGATGTAGACCCACGGGTCCAGGATCTGGTTACAGGTGGCCATTCGGACCCCCGTCACCATGAGGCCTCTGTAAGTGTCTAAGTCACTGTGGAGGGAGCCGTTGTAGGAGCGCATGGCCGACGTCAGTCCAAAGATCTGAAAGAAAAAAAAAAACAGCTTTAGGCTCATCCTGTATCGTCTGATGGATCCAGAGCAAATAGATGTTTGGTTTTTGGTTGTGATAATGTTGAGCTCACTTCCTGAAGAAAGAGATATGATTATGAGCTCAATAACTATGACCAAATCATGGAAACTAACTGTGCTGCTCATCAGTTTGATTCAATTTTATTCAGCTTCTTTCCTTTGCAAGCAAAAGCGAATCTCTTACACAAGTTCAAACAGCAACAGCTATTGTTCTCCACCTTTAATCTCACTAATCTGGAGAAATCTAGGGTGGGTTTGGCATCACGAAGCCAAGCTGTGCAGCCAAGCATTGTTCAAACACTCAGAACTTTATTTTAAATGTTGCTAAAGATCCCAAAGTTTCCAAAGATATGTTAGTCTTAAATTTGCCATGTGTATAATATAGTGCATTTATGAATGTAGAATCCAGTGCAGCATTAAATGCAAATCCTAGATGCTGACACACGGTATATAAATCTGATTCTTGTGAGGGAGTTGAGAGTCAGACGAGTTTTCCAACTTGACAGCTAAAGTTGCAGAAGTACTCAGATCTTGTACTTAAGTAAAAGTACCGACACCATGGTGTAGAAATACTCTGTTAACAATAACAGTAGTGCATTTAAATGAAGTAAAGATATGAAATGTGAGCATCAAGATGTACTTAAAAAGTAAAACAGAACCATTATGCAGAATGGCATATTTCAGAATAAGACATATTAGTGGGTTATTAATATGGAGGCATTAATGTGTTCAGGTTGGTAAAGGCAAAGCTTTAACTTATATTATTACATCATTACTTATTTGTTGATTATGTAGCCTGCCGTTGTTTTGTTTTTTAAATCTGTAAAGTACTAAAGTTGTACTTGTTCTTACTTGCCTTTGCATTGCAGATACTTTATCAAAAAGGAGAAACTGTACGAGGAACGTTAAATTATTTTAGGGCAATAAACCTCCTCAGTGTTAATATTGTTATAGACAGAACAGTCTGTCGGCTCTCAGTGATATGAATTTAAATAAGATCTGTTCCTGCTTTGAGTGACTGAACTTGAAATGGTTTGTAAATGTTTGGATTTTTTTTTTTTTAGCATATTTCACATTTTAGCTGCGTTTCCTCTCATGGGAAGCTCTGCCTCTCATCCACTCTTGTTTGGGTCTCGGTCAGTCTGACCCTGAGTGAACGAGAAGTCTTATCTTCAAGGTCCACTCAAATAACTCTGGAGAGACCTTGGAGTGTTTTATTAGTGGATCTAACAGCCAGACAAAACCTCAAGAGAACAACCGTTTTGTTTTTTCCTTTGCTGGGAGGAGTATGAGAGACAAACGTAGATATTAGTGTGTGATGTTTTTACCTTTGCTCGTGTGCAGATCAACTGAAGCGATATTAAAGACAGCGGCTTCTCTAACGGAAATTTATGTCTGTTAGTATGACTGCGAGCTTCCCTGTTCTCCTGCTGTACTGAACAGCTTGCTGTAATTTAAAGTCTCTTTTTTAGCTTTTAACCTCCAGCTGCACGGTGTACTGATGCCTGACAGGAATCACTGATGGTTTCAAATGTCTGCTGGTAGGAGCAGATATTTGTACAAATCCACAAAAGTTCAGTTTTGTGGCAAAACAGCAGCTTGTCATTAATGAAAATGGAGATATTGTACCTTTCTGATCACCATATCGTTCTATCTGTCCTCAGCAAATACACCAATAAGTCACAATATATAATATAGGCCCCCCAACACTGTGTTTTAGGAGGATGTGCATTGACTTTAGGTATTTTACTGACATAAATCTGCTCTGCTCATGAAAGTAATCAGATATTTATTGTGAGGTTTTGACTTGCTTATCTGCATTTAAAGAAACATACATTTCCCATCATGTGAGTGCTGATAATCAAAGTTATTTACACTTCCCTAACTCAGAGTGTTTCCCATCCTCATGCAACACCGATGTGCGGTTTTAGAAAGCAGACACAAATCAAATCTTGGACCAGTTACTGAAACGTTCCTCTTTTAAATGTGGTTGGATTCTCCCCCACACTCACCAGCAGAGGGCTCCAGCAGATGCAGGAGGTGATCATGATGCCGACCAGCTGGACCACCATCTCGGTGTCGTGAGACCTGGCCGAGCAGCGCTGGGAGCACGACCTCTTCTTTAGCCGAGCTCTCACTAACGTGATCCCACTGATGGTGTTGCACACGAAGGCCAGGCCCAGAGAGCTCAAAGCCAGTCCAGTGAACAGCGTCACGAAGGCCAGATCTGTGGCCGTCGTGCCCTCCATCACCCTGATAAAGCACCACGTCCCCGGGTACTGGTTGGTGTAGGCCCCCAGGTTGAAGAAGGGCAGAACGGCCACACATAAAGCCAGGAGCCAGATCAGGGTCAGGGCCATCTTAGTCCGTGCTGTGGTCACCAGGCGGGCGTGCAGCAAAGGCCTGGTGACGCCCATGCAGCGCTCGGCGGCCATGGCACAGCCCAGAAAGAGCGGGCACAGGCCGAAGAACACCATGCATCCTCCCAGAAACAGACACGAGGCGTCGGGATCTGCAGAATCTGCCCGAAAGCTGGAGATGGGGTCGGGTGTGGTGTTTGTTGAGTATCTGCTCAGCACCAGAGCACCGGGGATCACATGTCCAGCCAGATCCGTGGCCACCAGGGAGCTGGCGAAGAGCAGAAAAGTGGCCTTGGACCGCCGCCGGAAGCGATTGTAAGCCTTGGCGAGGATGATGAGGGCCACCACGTTGAACAGGATGCCCAGAGTCATGGTGAGGCCCGCCGGCGTGGGGTTGCTGGGCGAACGGGTGGCGTTACGAGCCACTACGGCCTCCACCTCCGGCTCCTGCACCATGGCGGTGTGGTTGGAGAGGGAAAAGGAGGCAATGATGCCCGAGGAGTTGGAGCGCTGCATGGCCAGCATCACCGCCGGGCTGTGGGCCGGATGTGGTTCCTCTAGCCGAGAGAAACCTGAGAAGGAAAAAAGGACCAGTTATCATGTGGACGATTAATGAGCTGAATCTTCTTTGTGGCAACGCAACACCTTCTGCAGCATATTTATAATGTGGAGAAAGAAGCACCTGTCCCTGATTTGCACATAATTATCTTTAAAACAAAAGTAAAACACATTTGAAAATATATCAAATAATAAAAATACATTTCATGCATTTAACAGATTTTACTATCATAGTTGGAATCATTATGACGACTTCATCCTTGTTTCAATACATCCGCTGTGCTTTTTGTGCTTTCTTTCTTTTTGTTTAGTAAAAAACAAGCCATTAGATGTCAAAATTGACAGATTCATGGCAAACTACTGATCATTAGGTAAGAATAGAAGCTGTGGAATTTGCACCACGCCCAGATTTAACAGTTTGAAGATAAATATCAAATAAATTACAATCTAATGCATCTAAGTCAAGCAGTGTCCCGTATGTGTGACTGTACATCATGTTACCCACAAAACAACTGAGTCACATCACCCCCCGATGGAGCTATTTTTAAATCCAGGAGAGGAAAAAAACATCCAGGATCCACACCCCACCTGGCAGACAACTACCCTCCCTGTGGTCAAAATTAGACTTTAAATAACCTTCTCCTCTCCTCATCCACCACTTCACCCTAATCACTTCTACCTAGGCTGGTATCACCCTCTCACAGGGGAATAACTTCTGTTTCTGGGCGAGCAAAGCTGCTCTGGACTCCTTTTTAAAACAGTTCCCAGCACTCTGCTGTTTTCTCTTTATACAAGGCAGCGAGAGGGAGTCTGAACAAGTTCTGACAGTTTCTGTTGACTCTGCAAACATTCCTTTAAAACGCAGTTACAGTCCTGCAGCAGCAACAAAACTGTCACCGCGATAAATCAAATAATACATGTAGACGTGCCAACTGCTGGGATACACTGAGTATTTATTTACATGCAGGAGATCAACTAATGCATCACGTATACCTGGAGAGGCTGACTATGACCTGTTGATCATCTGTGAAGAGTCAAACCCACCAGGCTCCCATATAGTAAGGTGCATAATGGAATTCATATCCAGTAAAGAAAACTGTAAATTTTATTTTTTTTGATTATACACTATAATTGTGTTGCATAGTTTCCTAGTTTTTGCATTTTAGTTATTTTTTCTTCACCAAAGTTCATTTTCTTTATTAGAATTTATGTTTTAGTTCCAGGTTTTTAGTTTCTGGAACATTTAGTTTCTTTTTTTTAAGGAAAACTTCTTAATATCTCATTATGAACATGATAAAATCCCAACAAATTGAACAAAATTACAGAATGATAATAATGGATAATGATACACACATAATAATGCACGTAATCTGTGTTTATACAATTAAAAAAAGCATTTATCCTTCAATTTGTACTTTAGTATAGTTAAAAAGAGAGCATATTGTAATTTTTCTGTTAAATATCTCCAAATATGCTTTAAAGTCAACATTCGCTCTTGACTTTTGTCAGAACAAGTTTAAAAAATCCACTTTTTGTTGACCAATGTTAACATTTTACTAGATTAAAACTTAAAAAAAAAAACAAATGAGTTTGGAAAAACAGCCTCACGTGAAACATTTTGTCCTTGAACTCATGACTGAATAAAATATATTCTACCCACCTTTGAAATAATGAATCCATGGAGATGCTCAGAAACACTTTGATTTTGAAATGTAGTCATAGCTGACGCCTCTTCAAATAAATTAATCCAGCTTGTTCTCGATGTCGTCTCGGGTCTGTCCGTGGTGGGAAGTCTCCTTCACCTGAGGTGTTTCCACATTATGCAACTAAGACGATGCAGCGACTAACTCCTCTCTCAACACAAGCAGCCTCCCTGTTACACTGCACAAGCATGTTCTCTGTTACTCTGAGCCTGAGTGGCTGCTTTTATACTCCAGAGCTGCACCGCGCTCGCATCGCCTCTGGGTGTCTCCGTCACTGAGAACCAGTACTATCCTCGGAGTAGAGAGTCTCTGGAGTATACAGAGTGAAGGAGACACTCAGAGAAATCCCAAAGAAGGATGAATATTTAGAATCTGCTCTGACTCCTCCTCACCAAACAATCAAGGGCTCAAGTGTTAAGCCTGTAATGACGTGCCATATTTAAAATCTGAGGGCAGACCTCCACCAGGCCCTTCAGATATCGCTTTTAATGGGCAGCGATGGCGTTTTAACTGGAATAAACGTGACCTCATGCGTAGCAGCTTGGACGATAACAAGCTTGAACATGCTGGTGTATGTCAGGTTTTTCCAACTTGTCTGCAGGTTATATTTATTTTTCCTGCTCAAGAGACTTGTCTTATCTGCTAATTCTTTAGAAATTAGAACACTCGTCTGAGTAACCCTCCACAGCCTCGAGCTCCCATCAATGCAAACCAGCTGTGCAGCTACGAGCATCACTCTGGAGCTGTGACTGCGAACGATTTTCCGATTCTCCAGAAGAGCAGCCAGACTCCCACTGACGGGGGGACATTAGGATGTAACGCTCCAGCCTTGACCTCAGCGAGAAGAAGCACCGGCGCTCGTTTCAGATGGATTAAATACACAAAGTGCTGCAGGGTAAAACTATGACAAAAAGTCTGGAGCTGCTCAGAGTCTCATCGTCCCCAAATCAGCCATATCTGAGCACTCATCTGACATTCCTCCTCCGGTGAAAGGTCGTCTTATTTCACTGTCATCTTCTGTCAAAACAGAGACCTGCTGTAAGATGCTAATGTACACAATACGGCTCTTTGTTCGTACACACACTGCAGCTGTGTGTGTGGAAAAATGTCCTCTTTGACTGGCAGTGCAGCGAAGCAAGGCCTGGTGTGTGTGTGTGTGTGTGTGCCGCCAGAGAAAAATGCTGCTTTAAAAAGGTGCACATTAAAATCTAAGTTTTGCTTTTGCAAGTATGAATGCAAAGCCTGTCAAAGAGTTACCCAGCATGCCACTGGAGACAGGTGCAGCCGCAGCGCCATTAGCCCGGGTTAATGCAGTCTGTCAATCCGCCGTGCTATTAAACCTGACGTGGCGAAATGGAAGAATTCCATGTTGGTGAATGGAATGGAGTCGGGAGCAGAGAGGGGAGGATGAGCCATTAGGAGACGGAGACAGGCAGTCAGTCTGCTCTGCAAAACAAAGTGTGCAACATGTCAGTCAAAGGCCCATTCCATGTTAATGCAGTGACAGCAGAGGAGGCAGAAAGGTGAGACGAGGTAGCAACGCAAAATCTATTTAAGCTCTGCAACAACAGCGCTGTAAAAACAGTGTTTGTGCTGCCAGTCATTAAGTCAAAAACATGTTTTCCTTTAAAGGCTTTCTGAATAACCCACGACGGTTACAACACACAAAAAAAAAGGTTTTATTTAGCCACAAAATGGTGTTCAATTCAGATCGGATGTAAGAAAAATAACATTTTTAAAGGGAAGCTTCCTTAAATTTGCAAAACTAACTAGTTTAAATCAAAGCACAATAACATGTCTGACTCACTTAGCTTTAAGGGTTTTTGTTCCACCTCTGGGTGTGTGTCTTTGTCTGTCCGCAGGCAGGCAGACAGGAAACCACAAGAAAAAGAAAAAAAAGCTGTCTTATGGGTGGTTTTGTGTTGCACACTGAAATGGACGACAACAGACATCAAGTCAGCAATAATTCGAACCTTTCCGACAACCAGCTGTACCTGACTGAGTTATGCTGTTGACGGTTATGTTTTGGACCTTGGGTGCTCCTGAAAAAAACTCTCCTGGCTGAATTGCACAGCTCAGGATCTATTAAAATCCCCCAGAAACACTGGCCTTTGCAGAAAAAGTTGTGTTCCTGCAGAGTCATCACGTTTGCGTAAAGATCCCACACAGTGAAAATCTGTTTCAATTGTGTTTAGAAGATTAAAGGTGCAAACTAAAAGTTTATGAAGACTTTTAGTCACTCCTCAGAATGCTTCCAGGTCAGCCTTTCATTATGAACAGCTGCCTCATAGTCGAACCATTTACTTCCTAGAGCTGCTTCTGTGAACTCTAAATGCACCAAATGTTCTGCTGTTGGCTGCGAGAGTGAACACAAAAGGCTTTATGCACTCCCAGCATCTACAGAACTGAAAATCCAATGAATTGCTTAGTGTACCCCCCAACAATAGGAGAATCCTTAGTGGTGCCGCTAATGTTAACATTAGCTTTGACCACATGCTCACAGGTCAGAACTCTGTGGAAGCTGTAAAGCTGAGGGACATTTATGGGGGTATTATCGTGGCAAAACTATTTGTAAATGTGCATCGAGAGTTGTGTGTCTGTAGTGAGAGTTGTTGATGTGCAAAAAGATATTAATAGATGAAAAGTCCAAGTATTTGCCTACAAGTGCTGGAAATACAGACAAATGACCAGTAACACAACAGCTGTTCTGTAAAATGATCACTCGGATAGAAAGTCCGGGTCTCACACACTCCTTAATGTCTGTGTCAGCTACTGTTTCGTTGCTCGCTGTCAATCACGTACACAGAGTGGGTTTTCTTCCTGAAGGGGGCGGGGACAGCGGTGGTGATACAGCTATAGAACAGAATAGAACAGAATAGAATAAAAATAATGCCTGAGGAGAAATTTGGTAAAACCAGGGGTTGTACAGTCATTGTGTCATGAACTACTTTTGCAGTATTTTGAATTGGAAAAACTGAAAAGCACATTTTGAGGACATGTATTTTAACTAATTTGCTGAAAAAGGGGCAAAATATGGGACTGATTTCTACAGTTACATGTTTCACTCGACCGCCTCACACTGTTGGTCTAACCTAAGACTCATTTTGTGACAGGCGCTTCTTCAGTTTCAAATAATCCACAGCAGCAGCAGAAGAAGAAGAATATGGCAGCATGCAGATACTCCTGGCTGCAGTCTGCTTGTCAAACCACTCTTTGACTTACTGCAAGAAAACACAGCCACAAAAACTTCCTGAATTTATTTGCAGAGGATATCATAATCACTGCGGACATTTTTCTGTAATTATGCATGTCACGCTCGTTGGTTTTTATACACAATCAGTTGTTCACTGTTTTAAAGAAAGTGTACTGAAAAAAAAAAAAACACTTGGGCTAACCATGAAAATGTGTGAGACTTTAAACAAAACAAGCTCACTTTTGTTATCATTACCGCTCAGGATTTATTTCTCACGAGTAATATTCTGCGTTGATATGAATCCTTTCAACATGAGGACGTATTGAAAGATCTGAATACTTGCTCCAGTCTCAATACTTGTATGTCTCAAAAAAATAAAGTCATGTGTTCTAATAAGTGTCCTGCCTGAGCAGTAGATCTCATCCTAACCACGTCTCCACGGAGCTTGTCAGCGTATCCGTCCGTCCTACCCAGCGGTGTGGTTGTGGGATTTTGGGGACACAGAATATGGAGTTTAAAGTCTCTGAGGAGCATTGTTAAATCAGGGAGTCTTCCACAGAACTGCTCTGTGTCTGACGAAAAAGGCTAGTTTTGGTAAATCACTTCTTTTGTATTTAGATTACCAGAACAAATCAATCAGATCTGCTTATCACATTACAAAGCTGTCGCTATTATTAGGTTGGCTTTTTTGTTTAGTTTTTTTAGGTCAAACTATGACAGAATTTCTTTGCAATACAAACAACTTTGAGACTGAAAAGTCAGTGACTCACAAATACTTCTAGAAAGGAGTACGTCTTTTAACTTGCTTCAGAATAAATATCTGCAATAACAAAAAAAATAATCTCTGTCAGTTGATACGGAAGTGACTAAAAATTACTTCGGTGGGAGTGAAGATTAAACTTGTGTTTGAAAAAGCAAAGTTTCTTAATAATATGGAACTGGTATTTGTTGTTTAATGGTGTGTCTCAAATTACAACTTAAAAACAAAATGTTTACGTGAGCAATTATGGGAACTGGAACTTTATAAATATATATATAAAGCTCCTAATGACTTTACAGTTTATGCATAACATAAATTATGCAAGGTGCAATTAAGAACATCCAAGACTGCATCTATTAATTCAAATTCAGCCACAATCTCCTTCAAAATACTCTCCTTGTGCAGAGATACTCCCTGGAAGTCCCATTCTGTGAGTGAATCATCCGCTGGCCACGCTGGATCACCTTCACCGTGTCACAACAGTTTAGGCAAGAGGAAGAAGCTACAGGGAACAGATATGATGTAGGGAAACTGTGGCACTACCCGCCTACGATATGAAGCTCTTTCACTGAAGACTCACATCACCAGTGATGATCTTTGACATGATGGTCAGGTCAGTCTGACAGAATTTGTCTTTGCTCTCTTTCGGGGTCCATGGTGAAACTGCAAATGTGCACCTCCAAATAGTCCCAATAAGACTCCCAGAGAATGTAGCAGGAGCACTGGGAGCTGTGTGTCTCAAGTCTTTCTACTTTTTATTAAACCTTGTATGTTTAACTGCTCATCACATAACCAATGCGTTGTCTAGGCTACTGTCTTACCTGTTTTCTAATCTTTTTTTTTTTTCCTGACTCGTTTTGTAAATCCCTAATGAGGATCTGTCCTTACAAATTAACTGTTCTGATCTTGAAATCATCCAACTTCTAAAGTTCCAACTTAAATAAATTCCTGCTGATTCTGTTACAGTGCATCCCTGCACGTACTGAAACCACATAGACAAAACAGGAAAATTATTCTAGACTTCCTCTGAAAGACGTGAAGCAACAAAGCTGCAGAAGACGGGTCATCTAGGGGTCTGAGGCTCGAGAGAAAACCCTCCAAAATCCTAAAGGTCTTTCTCAGACACCTGGAGAGTTGACTCAAACACAAGGGATATCCAAGATGGCCTCGATGAGTGACCAGGAAACCACAGTTTCCTTGCT